TACTCAGTTTCATTTTCCTACTGAATATTCCCTAGGAAATTGTACACAGTGCTCTCAACGTCATCGAATGTTCCAACCTCTCGCTAAATGTGGAACGATAGAATTCACGTTGTAAGACGTGGAAATTGCGAGACGTGAGATGTCGAAAGTACGGAACGAGCATCCGACAGGGAACATATAAAAATAAGCGAAACCGTCAAAGTTGTCGAACTTTCCAGCGAAATCGATGAAATGGCCAGTTTAATCGACGAAATTGGAATATAAGTAGGTTCGATAAGGGGCAAACGACTTTTATTCGCGCCACGAGACGATCGAGCGAAGGGTAATCGAGCCGGACCGATTACGCAAACAATAATCCAAGACGTTCATTAACATAAAAACCAAGATCGATACGGAACTCGTGGCGATGTTGGAAGATAGATTTCCATGCTGAAGTAACTGGAAGGCAATATGAAAAACCGTGGGACGAGGGTGTACGCTTGTAGAAGACGGTATTATATCGCGACCCCGTTTCATTTATTCCCTCTCTGAATAGTGAACAGCCACATGTATACGGACACGATATGTACGTGTGTCGCCTATATGCATATATTCTGTATTACGCATTGTCTTTTTCCAAGATAAACATTCAACTACCACACAGGCACGCGTCTCTGAATGTCACTCTGTTTCTTCGCGTGCGGCTTCGTTGAAATTTCTCGTTCGTATAAAGTATAAGGTGTGGCCAGTATTTTTTACATATTTCCATAGTAGTTTTCCAGCATATTTTCGCATCGCGTATTTCAATGCATCGGACAGAGTAACGACGAGACATCGTTGTTCGGTCGAATCGTTTCGTTTGCGTTAAAATGCGTTGTTCCAAGTTTCGTTACAGGCAGTCGAACAAGAAGCTTGTAAAAAGTAATCTTTAATTTTTTCAGATTTTTAAGATAATCTTTAATTTTTTATCGACTGATGTTTGTAAAAAAAGTTATTCCGTTTCAAAGGGCGTTTCGCGAGTCACTGTATACGTAGCACGCATTAGGTTGTCCGAAAAGTGTGCTTTTTTTTTACAGACCCGTCTTTTACAACGATGCATCTTTATACAAACATGAAACCTAATCTGTCGAACGTTGTGATCTTTATCTTGATAGAAATGGATCATACGTACGGAAAATGTTGTGCGTTCATTATCTGCTTATAAAACGAAAGAAACTTTCCGGCCGACCTAATACGTATAGAATAGTTAGAAACGCGCGTTTCTATGAAGTTAGAGCGCAAATTGTTAACGGAAACGTTACGTCCGATTTGTCAACGATTAAATTCGTTAATTTTAATGTACGTTCCATTGTTGTAGCGTTCTATTGTATTGGCTTGGCAACCAAGTGATTACGGATTTTGTCAATACCAGCTAACGACAAAATCCGCAATCAGTTAGTTGCTACAACCTAATATTTCGAGCTACGTATTCGTTCGAGCACATTCGATGCTCTGTCAAAAAAAAAAAAAGAAAAGACAAGGAAACGATCCTGCAAGGATTTCGCGAACCACATTAACGGAAAATCATAAATGGAACTATTCATCTTGCGTCTTTTTCTTTTTTTTTTTTTTTTTTTTTTTTTTTTTTTTTTTTTTTTTTTTTTTTTTTTTTTTTTTTTTTTTTTTTTTTTTTTTTTTTTTTTTTTTTTTTTTTTTTTTTTTTTTTTTTTTTTTTTTTTTTTTTTTTTTTTTTTTTTTTTTTTTTTTTTTTTTTTTTTTTTTTTTTTTTTTTTTTTTTTTTTTTTTTTTTTTTTTTTTTTTTTTTTTTTTTTTTTTTTTTTTTTTTTTTTTTTTTTTTTTTTTTTTTTTTTTTTTTTTTTTTTTTTTTTTTTTTTTTTTTTTTTTTTTTTTTTTTTTTTTTTTTTTTTTTTTTTTTTTTTTTTTTTTTTTTTTTTTTTTTTTTTTTTTTTTTTTTTTTTTTTTTTTTTTTTTTTTTTTTTTTTTTTTTTTTTTTTTTTTTTTTTTTTTTTTTTTTTTTTTTTTTTTTTTTTTTTTTTTTTTTTTTTTTTTTTTTTTTTTTTTTTTTTTTTTTTTTTTTTTTTTTTTTTTTTTTTTTTTTTTTTTTTTTTTTAGTGGAAGTGGAAGTGGAATAAAACGCTCTAACCATAACATTTTTAAACGTATACTTTGAGAGTTTTATTCGCAGAGTAATTCTATGGAGTTCGAAACTAAATTAGAGCGTTTAATCGAGTTGTGATTTTTTAGAGTGATACCGGACGGCCGCGCGGCCGTAGTGGTTTGGTTGGGAATACTTCTGAAATCAATAATTCTGTTATCGCACCTCGGACTTTTCAACGGAAAACTTGAAACTTTAATTAATGAAGGGTAACGATTTTTAAAACGTCGCTGTTAAGCACAGTTATCTAGGTTGATTGGTTATTTTATATTATCGGTATAGTCATTTTCCCCACAGGCGCATTGAGAGTTTGAAATTTACGAGCTCGTACTTTTAATAACAATTATTTTACGTGCAAAAGTTACCGGTTCGATATCGACCATTTTGTAGATCGTAGATAGACCGAAGGCATAAAACTTGTAGAAATCGCAAATGAATATCGTGTTTAAAATTATGTGTGTTTTCTTTTCTTTTTTTTTTTTTTTTTTAAATAATCGTTTCATTCGTGCAATGGAATTTCTCTATCGTCAGGCCATCGTCACGCAGAAACCACGTAATTTTCTCAGTTCTCTGTCCACACTCGACGAAACTCTTATCGAAGCGTCGAAGTAGGCTATACGTAAATCGAAATTCTCAAACGTCAAAAGATTCTCATGAAAAACGTTGATAACGTATTTACGAAGGAAGAAGGAAAATTTACACGTCGTATCTTCGTTGATGTTCGGTTTACAAGATGAACAATGCCATTATTACGTGTTTCGTTTCACGAGCACCGAAATACGCGCAGTAGAATCGAGATCGACCCTTAAGAAAATTTCATTTTTAAATTTCAAACTTAGCTTCGTTTCTTGGAATTTTTGCATCGTACTCGAGGAGGATTTTATGGGCGATTTTTACTTCAGTTTTTGAAACATTAATCTTCATGAAGTCACAGTAGAGAGCTTTATCTCAGATAGGTAGCTTCTCAAGCGTCTTACTTTATATGAAAGAATCGTCTTTTTCTTCTTTTTTCTTTTCTTTTTTTTTTTAATGTGAATTTGGAACCTATTCAAACTTCCCGCATTCCACGTTGAAAGTGTCATAATTAGATGTATGAAAAGATGTTATTCAACGTCCTCGACTCGAATGCACGTAGCAACGCGACGTAAAAGGGGCAGAATAATGTTTTAAATACACGTACAGGTGTTGCAACGAACGTTAGCATATCAGAATTAATCGAAACGGTAAATCTCTCGTTGAATCACGCCCGGCTATCGTTCGTGACTTATCGGCCGAGCAGCTCGTGACTCGTGGTACGTCCTATCGAGGACCGATTACGAACCGATTGCGAGTCGTCAAAAAGATGCATTACCCTCTCTCATCTAACAACCAAAACTTGCACTTTAGCGCAGTTAACTTGGTAAAATGTCCACTTATTCCGCGCACGGGTACGCGTCTCTCGTGCCAAAAGACAAATCGAATAGTCCACGAATATTTTAATAAATGAAATTTTCTTACAATATATCAGGTTGTCCGAAAAGTGTCTTTCTTTTACAGACGCGTCTCCTACAACGACGTATCTTTACGCAAACATGACACCTAATCTATCAAACGTTGTGATCTTTATCTTGATAAAACAAAATGGATCATACGTAATTCGATAAAATAACGTAAAACGGAAAATGTTCTGCATCCGTTATTTCCTTCTAAAACGACAGAAACTTTTCGGACGACCTAATACCTTTATTGTATACGATATAATTGTACGCGATAGGCTATGTAGAGATTCAAGGAATTTAACAAACTACGCTTGAGAGCTTGCTCGAACAATGATCACCGTAGTAACTAATATCGAAAAATATAGTACCCCGATGTAAAAAATATTCGCGTGTCATCGAGGCACACCGAGGCACATCGAGGCACATCGACTAATACCGAGGTACATCAGTCACGGATATTGCACGCTTTTCACGCATGCACAGAATCGCTGCTGGCAGAAGGCACATACACGCATCCGTCAGGAAACGCATGCAAGAAACTGCATCCCCTGCGAGTGGTCCTATCTCTGCTTATGTACATATTCACGAAGAGGCCGAGCAGCTGACCTGGATACGTACGAAATGATACATTACCAGTTGTTGCCAGCGTATTATGAATTTTTAGTTTTTATCAGAACAAGCCGCGTGCATTGTTTTTAGCTAGTTTTAAACCGCTATTAAAATGCTACGGCGACAACTAGCAGCGTTCACTTCGTCCTCGGTCTCGGATCGCGTCAGCTCCACGTGAAACAATTCTTACAGGCTGACGATTATCGAACAGACGATCAATTTGCTACGCTACTGGACTCGTATATAATATGTGCAGTCAGCTTTCGTTTTTTTTTTTTTTTTTTTTTTTTTTTTAAGGCACATACACGCATCCGTCAGGAAACGCATGCAAGAAACTGCATCCCCTGCGAGTGGTCCTATCTCTGCTTATGTACATATTCACGAAGAGGCCGAGCAGCTGACCTGGATACGTACGAAATGATACATTACCAGTTGTTGCCAGCGTATTATGAATTTTTAGTTTTTATCAGAACAAGCCGCGTGCATTGTTTTTAGCTAGTTTTAAACCGCTATTAAAATGCTACGGCGACAACTAGCAGCGTTCACTTCGTCCTCGGTCTCGGATCGCGTCAGCTCCACGTGAAACAATTCTTACAGGCTGACGATTATCGAACAGACGATCAATTTGCTACGCTACTGGACTCGTATATAATATGTGCAGTCAGCTTTCGTTTTTTTTTTCTTTTTTTTTTCTTTTTTCTCAATCTTTGTACGCGACGCTCGCATAATCTGCAACGCTTTGTAACGTCTATCGCGATTCAAGTTTCACGTCTATTTACCTTTCATCGTTACTCCTTGTCGAAGAGAACTCACTGCGATTCCTGCAATAGAAATACAAGCGCATGTTACACGTACTTACATCGAATGTAGGTTATATGATATAATTGAAGGAAAGAGAAAGACAAGGGTACTATAATAAGCCCTTAACTTCTTTTACCGATATTGACATTCTCGTATTAATACGTCGAACGAAAGAAAAAAGGAAAAAGCACGTTGAAAGGGAACTATAGATTCGATGTTAAGGCATTTATTTAATTTACGTATTTAAGTTACGATATACGATATGGGGAATGTTAAAACAGAGATTCGTGCGCAGTAATATCCGTTCTTAAATGTAGAAAAATATGTTACGGAAACTGCCTTTTAGTTTCAAGTCCCTGAGAAATCGAAGAATATTGGATTTCCTCGAACCGGTTAAACTTTCTTATCGAACAAGTTTTGCAAAGTCCCGCGCGCAAATTTGTTCTATGCAATCCAAGAATTCGAATAAAAGTTTCATTTTATCTAATGGTGTCTTCAACTTTATAAATAAACAGGATCGAATAATATTTCTATTCGCTCGTAATATCTATACGAACGACATGAAACATCGTTCTTACGAAACTTGTTTATAATAGCAAAGAGAAGAGTCGCGTAAGAGAATTCAGTTTCCTATCGTAATATTTCATTTTAATTTTAATTTAATTTTAAGTGCTCGACCGTAGTACCGATTTTGTCGAGAGATTCGTGAGCCAAGAAGCTGCGAAACGCGACCTGCAAACAGCCGACTTGGATTTAACCTCGGTTACGACGCAACTGATCGAGGTACGTCGGCTAATAAGATATAAAAAATACAGAACACGCATATCTATAGATGGAACAGATGGAATATGTAAAAATTATTCTAACAAATTTTATCATTCTAACAAAATTTTGCTTGATTAAGCGTCGCGACGTTCCACTCTTATTCATATCGCACGCGTCATAAATTGGAGGGATATTATAAAATCAAAGCAATTAGCTTGAAATTTTCAATAGCTTTCGTCGAGGTCTCAGTTATTTTTTAAATAAAAATATTTTAGCTTTAATGGCCATCTGTTATAATATCACGTGGATAATATCGGACCAATTCTATATCGATTCATCTCAATTTGAAAGCAAATTAAAAGCAATATTAAATAATAAATCTCATATTCGATATAAATACTAGGTACAATGTACATAGTAAGTACGTTCAACTGTTCTACGGTAACTGTTTTTGTTCGAGCAAATATTTAAAAGAGAGAAACAAAGTTAACGCGATAATTAGAAACGTAATTTTCACGTCCTTTGAACCGTAGGATGCGCGAAACAGTTTAACGTGTATGGCTATGCAAAGTATGCGATAAATTACGTAAAAAATTAATTAACGTAACTTATTCTAGTTTATAGCTGAAAAAAAACAATGCCATACACGACAAATCAATGGACGTAAAAATACTCGTTCGATACATTTCAAACTTAGTCCTAACTAACTCTGTCTACTAACTTTGTATCCCTCTAGAAGACTTTATGGAGTCGTTTGGTATACTACTTCGGTATACTAAAAATATGTGCTGTTAAATTTATCTTGATTCAAAGATACGTCGTTTGGAGAATCCAATTATTCCGTAGGTAAAACTTCGAGGATCTGGTAAATAGCAAGAGTTCCGCCTTTCACGATTACGGCTGCATGTGATTATACGGCGTGAAAATATTCTTTTGGCTCGTAGTACGTTGCTATTAGGCGCGGAACTCGGCTGTAACGGTCCAATCGTTAGCCAAATTTTTAACAACTTCTGCGAGTTTCATTGTAAATATATCTAATTGCGCATAAAAATTCGAGTTAAAAACACATTTAAACTTCCTCTGCTAAAACCGAAACGGAATACGCTTTCAAATGGAAAACGAGGAAAATGAGAAACTAGAAACAAAAAATTCGGTTCCAAGCGTATATACACTACATAGATACGTAATTGTTACGAACTAACAGCGTATGAAATTTACGATCATGTTACGTATACCACGTAAATTTAATTTAAGTAGTCTAAGTCAACGGTAGCTGCTAATTCCAACGAAGGCAGCTCCGATGATCTTGCGCTTCAAAGAACATTCTCCTCGGTAACGTACAAGATTCTAGCTGTCGCTCGTTTCTTCTTAAAAAATTGTTAACGAAAGACTGTCGTTGCCGCTACAAAAGACGACGGTTTCTTATTTTAACGAATGGCAGCTACGGTAGAAACGTCTGAGAGATTCCTCAGAAGACCGTCGTTACCAACGCATGCGAAGATCAGGATCATCGAAGCTGCCTTGCCTAAAGTCAACGTTCAGCCAAGTGCGTATTTATAAATCCCAATTTGTAGACAATTTTCGAATCAACTGAGACTTGTATATCGATTCAGCGAGATGAATCATCGGTAGCTGTAGAAAGAGCCGCGTATGGCATGTTCCAAGACATTACACTCGAGCGAAGAACAGCTTAATGACGACGTTTATAAATGGAGCAGGGAAACCAGGAATAGTATGGCAATCTGAATAACAAGAATCACGTATGGCGTGTCTAGTCCTCCAAGTATATACTCCGATACTTGCAGTTGCACGCTGTTTAAATGCCTTGATAACATAGGCTAAAGGGATATGCTTCGAACAGCAGATTTGCACGTGATTTCTGATCCCACCATACAGTCACGTCACGAACTGTCACTGTAACAGCAACTATTCTCACGCAGACATCCTGTTGACGGACCACCTCTGTAACTGCGTTATGCACACGTATACGGAATTCTGTTCGTCGGCGGACACCGATTGGCCGTGACAACTGTCACGTCAAAACATTTCTCTCGAAAATGCTCAACAATTTGTCACGATGACGCCGTGTTAACCCTTACCGACATATGTACTTCCAATCTATACAAGATTCGACGAAACATTCCACCAATTCCAACGACAGAATACCCATCATCTTCGATACAACGAACATTTTCATACATCTGTGACGTTCTATCGAGTAGGGAAAATTATACCGATAATCTGTTACGTTTGCTTAAGACATGAATAAAGTTGCCACACGTTTGGGTTCAGATTGAAAAGGAGGATACTTTGGCTTCGCGTTGACGCGAAGCAACGTCGCATGATCCCTCGTAATCGTAAGGAATTTGAGTATAGCAATTCTCTATTAAATTTTCATCCACGTTTGATGGCGCCATGCCACCAAAATCTAATCGCTCTCGGCCTTTGATCGGTTAGCTACTTTTGACGAGTGTACTCGTCGTGTAAAAAGAACAACGAAGCAGTCATTTCGTTGCAACTTAATGTCGCTTACCTTTTGAGACACACTTTAGGTACGCGCTTCTCAAAGAGGTCGCAGCTAGGAGGCAGCTAACTGGTTAATCGCGCTTTATTACTTTGCCCAATCGATCGTACGTCTAGGAAGACGCGATTCATATCTAGTTAACGTACGACATGCTACGAATTTTCTGAGGAATTTCGAACATTTCTCCTGACGTAATTGAACGGAACAATGCATTCGTTATACCTGAAATTTTCCGTGTTTTTGCGGAAACGAGCTTTCTTTCAAAGTATCGCAAGGCAAACTTCGTTAGGCGGCTGAAGGAGGAAAAATTTCCCGAAGAATCTCGGAGCAACGAGCGATCGTAATTCGTAATGCTCCGTGTCTAAGAAAAGAAGCTGCACAAATAACGCCACCATTTCCGTTCGTCTGTACATCTACGTAAATATGTAACACACGTACGCGTACGTAGGCAGCTGAGTCGGTCGATTCCACTCGCACACTTTGAAACGTCGGAGACGGCGTGACTGAATGAAAGAGGAACAAGGAGAGGGTAAAGAGGATGGCGCGAAGGAGGATGCCAACCGAGTACTACTCTGTTTGCTAATTACTCGGCGTCGGCACATTTGCATTCACGTTCGCGCCAGCCTCCGACTAGCAGCGTTAACCTTCTCATTAAACGTAATTGTTTGCAATAATTTGATGCCACCTGTCTCCCTCCTGCGACGACCAACCTTACGACCAACCAGCTCCTCCATCGAGTCTCGTCGCACTCTCCTACCTTCTCGACTGTTGCGCCGCTTGCCACGCTCGTCTTCCAGCATTCAATGCTGTCACTCTTACGCACTTGATCGCGTTTTCGTGTTCGTGTACACGTACAAGAGCCAGCGAACCACTCGCGTCGGTCTACCAGTCGTCTACTACTCGAGCCGTGAATACGTTGATACGACGATCGTGCGCGCGCTCACGCACCTACACACGCGCGTTCCAAACCAGAGATTCCTGATTCCACTTGGTCCTGAAGGAGGGAGAGCGTGTAGTCGTAGCCTGGATCTAGTTGCGAAGGGCTTTTGTTTCGACGACGACGTTCGCGGCATGTACACACACGTACCGCGCACATGTAATAATAGCGACTTCACACGTACATCCTTGGACACGACAATTACAGATGAGCCGATTAATTGGTGGAGTCCTCGTCGGATCGGCAGCTATAATAGAACCGAATTGCGGAGTAATAGGCACGTAATTTCTGAACTCTGTGTGCTGGAAATTTATTCATTAACGCGGCCATCCGGAAATTTCTTGGCTTTGTCGTTGCTCGGTCGGGCTTTTCTTCCCAAACCGTGCTCCAACGACGCAACGTAATTTGCGTTCCGCGGCAAACTGTTTGCGTGGCGATCTTATTATTGGCATTAGTCTTAGCGGTTGCTCGATTTGCGTGAAAATTCCGCGACAAATTTCGATACTCGTTCAACCTGTTTGATGCTTCAATTATGAAGTTACTTTATCTTATATATACAGGGTGGTTGGTAACTGGTGGCACAGGCGGAAAGGGGGTGATTCTACGCGAAAAAAGAAGTCGAAAATATAGAATAAAAATTTTCTTTTTTTAATTTTTTTTTTTTAATTTTTCTAAAAATCTACAGTGAGTCCTATTACCTTTCAACATGTCAACATATCGCGCGACTAAATAATTTCCAGTTATTCTCGTTTAGGATCACAGCGTACCGTTATTTGCCCTGCTCTCTGAATCGT